CTTGGTCCAAGTATAGGTTTCACATTAGCACAATCAAGTGTTCTGGGATTCCCATTCTTCTCAGAGTCAGCCACAGTTTGTTATGATCCACACAGTCAAAGAAACACAGATATACATTTCTCTGGTATTCCTTGCTTTCAGCTAAGATCCATCTAAGATTAGCTACAATATCCCTAGTACCATGACCCCTCCTAAACCCAGCCTGGACTTCTGGCAGTTCTCTGATGATGTGCTGTTCCAGTTGTTTTTGGATAATCTTCAGTAGAATCTTGTCTGCATGTGAAATCAATGATATTGTTCTGTAGTTTTCACATTCTGGTGGGTCACCCTTCTTTGGAATGGGAACAAATATAGATCTCTCCCAGTCAGTTGGCTAAACGGTTGTTCTCCAGATTTCTTGGTGAGCACTTGCAAGGCAGCATCTGTTAGCTGAAATATGTCAATTATATATAAAATTTACTTTTTATTGCTTGTAGTGAGCACAATATTAGAAGACAAATTTAAATTAAAAATTGACACCTAAAAACAGAAAGAGAAACCTTACTCCAAAAAGGGTTAGTGACAAAGAAAACAACTCCTTGCAAAGGAAGCAACTGTTTTCTTTGGTTACGTGAGCACTTTCATAGAGGGGAATTTCCTCAACATAGTGAAAAGTATATATGCAAAATCAAGAGTCAACATTATTCTCAATGGAGAGAGACATTAAAGGCATTCAACTTGAGAAAAAGAACAAGCCAATGATGTCCACTATCACCTCTCCTTTTCAATGTTGTACTGGAAAGTATTAGACCCATTAAGGCAAGACAAGGAAATAAAAGGTATACAAATTGGCAAAGAGAAGGTAAAACTATCTCTATATGCAGATAATGTGACAGTATGCTCAGAAAATCAGACAGGAAAATTATTGGACAAAGTCAACCAATTCAGCAAAGCAGTAAGAATCAGTTGGATATCTCTACAACAACAATGAGAATATATAAATGGAGCTTAAACAAAGCAGTATCAATCATAATAGCTAATTACAAGATGGACAGCATGCTCCGAAGGATAGAGGGACAGCACCAGAGAGGAAGACCCAAGATGAGATGAATTGATACAGAAACTAGGGCAAAGTGGGCAGGTGTGTTAGAGTCAGTGAGACTGGCTCAGGATAGGGCATGCATCAAAGCTGTTGTACATAGGGCCGCTATGAATCGCAGTCAACTTAACGACACGTGACAATAATAACAACTACAATCACAAGATGAAATATTTGGGAATAAGTCTATTAAAGACACAAAAGACCTATCAAAATATTACAAAAAACCAAGAAAGACCTGGAAAAACGGAAGAATATACCATACTCTTGGATAGGAAGACTCAATATCGTGAAAATGACAATTCTACCAAAGGTAGAAGTTCAATGCAATATCAACACATATATCAATTTAATTCTTCAATGAGCTGGAAAAAGCAACTTCAAATTTTATCTGGAATAAAAAGAGGCCCAAAATAAGCAAAACAATATTGAAAAAGAGAAACAAGGCAGGAGGCATCACAATCATTGGTCTCAACTACATGGTCAAGACAGAATGGTACTGGTAAAGAAACAGATACATTGATCAACAGAAGTGATAAACCAGAAATCAGCTCATCTACCTATGATAAACTGATTTTTGACTAGGAGATAAGGGACATCATGCTTATGATGATGAAGAAGGAAGTTCAAGCTGCTCTGAAGGAATTGACAAAAAAAAAGGCCCCAGGAATTGATGGAATACCAATTGACCGAATCCAACAAACAGATGCTGCCCTGGACACCCTCCCCAGTTTGTGCCAAGAAATCTGGAGGACAGCTGCCTGGCCAACTGGCTGGAAGAGAGTCATAATTGTTCCCATTCCAAAAAGGGTGATCTGATAAGAGTGTGGCAATTATTGAACAATATCATTAATACTACATGTAAGCAAGATCCTGCTGAAAATTATTTTTAAAAAAAAGATTGAAACTGCACATCAACAGAGAACTGCCAGACATGCCGGCTGAGTTTAAAGGAGGCCATGACACTAGGGACATAACCTATGTTAGGTGGTTATTAAAAAGCTGGAAATAGAAATATCATTAGAACTTAGGGAGCTCTGGTGGCCTAGTGGTAAGAAGAGGTGCTACAATCCCAAAGGCATGAGGTTAGAATCCTCCAGATGCTCCGCTGGAGAAGGAGGGACAATCTCCTATACCAGTCAGTTTCTTAATGGGCTTTTATCTAAGAGTAAGATCCAAACACACACACACACACACACACACACACACACACACACACACACACACACGAAATAAGAAATACCATTAGACCTAGCAATTCCACTACTGAGAATAAACCTAAAGAATACAGAACCTCAACTCAAACAAATGCATGCACACGCATGTTTAATTTACATTATTCACAACAGCAAAGAGATGAAAGTAGCCCATCAACAAAGGAATGGAAATAAAAACTATGGTACACAATGGAATATTGGCAGCAACTGAAAAAAAACCATGAACTCGTAATACATTAAAAATGAGGGAGCCTGGAACACATTATGCCGAGTGAAATATCTTCGTAACAAAAGGACAAATATTGAATAACACCTCTGTTATAAAATAAACAGGCATGGAAGGGCTGAGGGAGAGTGGGAAAAGAGTATATCGATAAGATAATGAACATTAGATCAGATGAGAATGGTCCAAGAGGAGTAAATGATTAGACATTATATGGATGACAACAACCTGGGAAAAGGGAGATCTGTGAGAGGAGGAGATGGGTGAAGAAAATATGCAATGGTGAGGGGGGGAAATGTAAAACACTTTCAATGTTAAAAAAAAAATACATTGGGGAAAAAATAACACTAGATAACTGCATACATCCACATGTACAAAAGTCAAATGTGCCCATCTCTCATTTATGCAACCATGCTGAACTATACTTATCTACCACCTACCCTAGGAACTATGTATTTGCTATTCTCTCTTCTACCTGGAATGTTCACCGTCCATAAACCTGCACATCAGCTCTCTCACTTCCTAAAATCTAATGTATCAGGCTAGCTAACTAATATT